TTTCTCGAAAATTGTTTTTTGTAGGAGGAGATCGTCGACAGTCATTTCATATGGAACGACAACCGGCTAATGCTATGAGTGCATCAGGAGAATATGATGTGACATTGACTCGAAACGATACCGGTGGATTTGGGTTCATAATCATTTCGTCACTTAATAGGAATGGATCCACTATTGGTAGGGTTTGAAGTTGGAGTTATCCTTGTCGACAGACCCTCGCCATAATCCATAATTTCTTTTTATCCGATGGAACAGATGTAGCAAAGTATTTCTCAAAAAATTTATTTTTTTCTTACAAGAATTGCTTAAGCAGCTATAAAATGCTTATGGAAAACGGGGTCCATTTTCCCAGAACCTCTTTTCATCTGGCAGGATAAAAGTGGGATATTTTTTTCCATTTCAGGACAAATCCTGGAAAATTCTCCAGCAGAGAAATGTGGACGATTGAAAGTTGGCGATCGTGTTGTGGCTGTGAATGGTATTGACATACTCAATCTCACACATGGAGAGATTGTCGGATTAATTAAGGTGGGTTATCTACCATTTCCGTACAGTAATAATCTCTAAGCTCCTTCTTTTCCAGGCATCTGGTCTATCTGTCCGACTTACAATCGCTCCTCCTCTGCCTGAAGGTAGTCCATTAGCGTCAAGTACTCTGAATCGCTCCAGTGTCATCAATATGTCCTACGCTCCATCTCCACCGAATTCCTTCGTCCCACCACCGCCAATTTTCCAAAATGGTGGCCTTTATGCGACTGTAGGCAGGGTAAGTTGATCATATTCTAGAAGGGACAAACTCGACGGCATCTTATATTTTCCAGGGCTCAAACTATACCGCGTACCCACAGTCGTCTACGACACCAGCACCATTCTCCTATACGAATGGTTCCGTATTTAAGGGAATCACCTCACAGTATTCTCCCTATGCTGATGTGGGACGACCCATTTACTCCTCATCACATATCAATGGACAACTCAATGGGATGAGTCTGAACGATCCCGTGCCTCCTGAGCAGGTTCGAGTTCATTAATTAATAAATTTTTAGTATAATAAGGGCTTACCATATTTGTTTTCATTAGCACTTTTGTAGCCAACAACCTCACAAGTGCTTATTTAACGCTTTTATTCAGTTTATTTCCTATCCACATTTGAAGCTCTTGCAAATTTTCCTTTTTCTTCTCTCAAACCATTTGTTTAGCCTAAAAGCTATGCACTTATCACTTATTAGTAGAATTTATATCTCTCACAGCAACCGAGTTGTGAA